GCCGGGAATTATGATAGCGTCTTGATTAAGCTCTGTTCATAGCTTGGTCAAGTACACGCAATTTAGGTCACATTTAGATCTACTAGAATGACTTGGTGGATCAAATCAGAGAAATTAATTCATACAGCAAAAATAGCCATTCAGAAGAATGTTACAACAAACTTTTCAAAAAGAAGAGAATAAGTACAATGAAGGTATGGTTTTGATAAATTATGGGATATTTTAATAACTATTAATCTTTGTGCCAGGAATTTTATTCTTACAATGAGCAAGTCTCCACCAGACATTTCATCATCAATGATCAACTTTGCTCCATACCTACAGATCACAGTAGATAAAAGGAAGTTAATTAATATACATGAAAACTCAGTTAACCTCCCAGAACTTTAATTTGACTATTTTAAAATAGTTCATTACAGTAAAAACAGCTGCAAAATTAAGCAAGATAGTTCAAAACAGCAGATGCTTATTGAAGTGCACTATTTTGTTTTATGAATAAAATTGCACGGATAGAATCTGCTTGTACATTCAAGCATAGTGCACATGGTTGGTGGTCTTTTTTAATCATCATTTGTAGGTCATACTGTTGCTATGGTAACCTATTGTGTCACAAAAATGATAACAATGTGTTCACCAATGAGTGGGCAGTTTTTTCATACAAAAATAATCTTTCGAGTTTGGATTCGAGCTAGGTCGAGTTGGACTTCGAGTTGGACTTCGAGTTGAAGATAGAGTTGGACTTGACAAGAGATAGGCGAAGATCCAAACTTTCCGGCTTTGTAGCCCGGCAGCAGTCAATTGTTTTGTTTTTTTCAGCAGTTAATAAGTAATAAGAAATCTATTGCAACAGTGTATTTATTCTTCTTTCTTTACCAAAAATAGTCAGGTACTGGGCGACAAACAACAAGTTTATTAGGGAGGACCTGGCGAGAACCAACCTTTACAATTTACATACCAACAGCTATTGTCTCAGATTAATGTAAGATTTGCATATTCTTTTTCTTTCAAAATGACAACAAAGCTGCTACACTTAAACTAAAATGATATATATACCTCTTTGTTATAGGGGGATCAAAAATTTCCACAACTGGCGAGTGAAAGAAAATCAGGCAAAATTTATTAATTAACATGGATTTTTCCAGGAATGACGATATTTATGCTGAGCTTTGAAGGATGTTTTATCTTGGACTGAATAAAGAGAGAAATGGATACCCCTTCCCAACAAACCAAATGATGAATACGCACTCGAGCAAAAACGCGACCTTTTCCCATATTTGAAACTGATGGCAAGGGTGGTAAATTTGTAAAAGATAAAAACACTAGTCCTCCCGTAGAGATATAGGAATGTGAAGAATTCATCAAACGACCAGTCGCATATTAAGTTTCGAACTGAATTGATCTGAGTTGAATCGTTTTGGATTGAATTGGATTGAATTGATCGGAGCTATTGAAAGTGTATGGATGAGAAAACATATCCCTGGCTAGCTAGTAGCCATGCAGGCTGGAAAAAAAACTCCAAATTTTTCATTACTTGACAGAAGACAGCTAACCGCCAGGCCAAATCTTTAGGGTAATTAGAAATCTGACCAAGACCTTATCGCGGTTTTCGACGGAATCGACATCATCTTTACGGGTAGGCAAAGTCAGAAATTACGGTGTTTGTATAGGAATCCGATGGCAAATAACTTTTTCGAAAATTGAATGTTACTCAATTTGTGAATTGCAACGTTAAAATACCAGTAGGTGAAGTGATCTCTGTGATTGTTTCCTCGCTGAAAACAGAGGCATGTTTCAGCGTTAATTTGCATTTGAAAATAACTCTTTCAACTACATGTCTTCATAAAGCAAATTATACCTACCTTTCTATAGCTTATGCTACGATGGTCAGCAAACAGGCTAATGACAGGACCTCAGATCATACCATGGTTATCCAGGAAATGTGTCAATTAACAAAAGATGACCAGGTGGACAACATTAGAGTCACGCTTCACGCGTCACGCGTCACGCCACAGACACGAGATCGTTGGCTTATGGTTAGAGTCTAAAATTTGCAGAAAAGCAATCCTCCGTTTGTGCCATCCCCGATTATGGGAATGCTCATCAAGGGCTTCCCTACGCCCTTTTCCCCGAAAAGCGGTCCTTCCAGAAATGCAAGTATATCGGCGGGTTATGCTGTTTTGCGAGCGTCTCACCTCCCTCCTCCTCCATTTTTTTTTTTATTTTGTTATTTTTATTTTTTATTTGCATATTTACTCGAAGTCCAACTCGAACTCGAATCCACACTCGATGGTTCGGGATTCCCGTCATCAACAGGCTTACATATCGTGAACGACGTCTAAACACCACGGTGTTACCAACGATCGGTTCTGGGAACGATATGCACAATAAGAAGGATAAGTCACGATAGGAACGGTAAGGCACGATATAAGGCACGGTGAGAGTGACGTAAGGCACGATAGGAAAGGGTACGATTGGCACGAAATGGACAGTAAAACGAAGATTTCTTCCGAGGTAAGCAAAGTGACATTTATTCATTACATTTGTAATGAAAATTCTTTAACCGAAAAACATATCGGCAAATAGTGAATAAAAAAAGTTAAAACGGTCTGTGTGCACTTCAGTTTTGTTGATATTTTTCTCATTCCGTCCTAAAATAAAACGATAAAGCCAGCAAAGAAAACTCCGTTTTTCATTATAAACGTACTGATTTGCTATCGCGTTCTTTTAAACTCCTATAACTTTAATATTGTCTGAGCATCATGAAAAATGTTTACATTTTTTAGATGCACATTCTTTGTAGAAGTCTGCCAATTTTCACGCAATTATGAGCCTTGTTGATAAGAAAAAATCAAACCTTTTTGATGCCACGCAAAATGTTACGCTCGTGATCACCCACCACCTTCTCAGTTGCAAAAACAATCGACCCCCAGGTTTGCCATATGATTAAGTTTTGAATCACCTGAAACCTTTATTGTCGAAAACTTGTTACTCTCATTTGTGAGTGAATCCTCCGTAGGAAAAAATATGGCGGCTGCACATTTTTCCACTATACCATGCGAACCTTACACAGCCCATAAAGTACAAGGAAAGCCATATTTGTGTAATATTTGTCTCTGTGCTATTAATATTGTGTATGCTAGGTTTGAAGATGCTAGAATTTCTCTGTACGTTTATATGAGCATTGTTAAAAGTTTCCTTGCGTTAAGAATTATGGATAGATACACCAATCGCCATCTTTTCTCCTACGGCAGATTGTAATCAAACATGCTCATTCACAACAGGTGTTACGGGTTACAGCTCCTATTGACAGCCTTGACCCCCACTAAACAATCACATTCCACCAAATATAGCCTATCAATTTTAACATATATTACTAAATTTTGCATGATAAGTTTAAGTTGACTTCATCATTTTTTTTTTTTTTTGGCTGGGGGTCATCTCAAAAGTTAAGAATAATATTATTACGAAAGCTGGTGCAGGTTAACATATCTGATGAAGGTCATTATTAATTGCATTTTTGGAATGATTCTAAGTGGTGTTCGTATTATAAGACAAAAGAAGTTATTAAGTTATCTCTGAGGGATATTACTGTAGATGTAAACGGCAATGGTAGTGACTTTTTGAATTAATGTATTTTGGTTGGAAAAACAGTAATTTATCATTGTAAAAGAAATAATGTGAAACCCAGTATGCAGTCATTTAAAATTATGTTACGTAAACATCATCATGATCACTGGCGAATTTAGGGGAGGGGCCCGGGCCTCCCTTAGTTTGTGTAAAAAAAAAGTCACGGAAGGAAGAAAAGCCGGCAGGGCCAGCAAAACAAAACAGCCCCCAACCCTTACCACAAGGTATGGATCTGCCACTGATGATACTGAATTAATGTATATTGCACAGAAGAATAATATTCTGCACACTTTTCATAAGAAGAGGAAGTTCAAACCTTTGACACCTTGATATGTAATTAGACTTACCTAGCATTAAGTGCAGGCTCTTAAATTAATCACATGACCCAGGTTTTTTTTTTTTTTTAAAAAAGTAGATACATTGTATTGTGTGTGCATGTTTGTGTGTCAATATGTGGGTGGTCACCGTAAATTCCTGTATACTTAAATTCTTGTCAATTTACACTTCATAATGTATAAATATACTCAGGAGAAAAAATATACATTTATTGCAGGGCCTATCTGTCAGATCCCCCCCTCTACATCCCCCACAAAAAAAAAATTGGTCCCTCATACCAAAATAAAATGTAGATTTTTTTCATAGTAGCACTGCAGTGATGTTTCTAGTTACTTTGATCAGAAATTCAAGAATCACCAACTTTGCTTCAGATATAAAGCATGTGTAAAAATAAGGCCAATGTTGAAGAAATTAGGGCAAGAATCTCAGCATGGTCTTTAAGTTAAAAATATTACAGATGTTTCAAAAGAGCAAATCTCTCTTATTTTTTGTTTATTAGCGGGTCTGTTAAGTTCATTGGAAATACTGCACATGTAGTCGTCCTTGTTGGAAATGCTCAAAGAGTGGAATTTGATGTCAGTGAAGCAAAAATTTCAAACTACCAGTACATGGATTCTTTACATTTTTTCTAAAATTGTGCAAAAATGGTAAAGAAAGAGATCTTTAGAAAGACCAAATCTTGCTAAATCCATGCATAAGCCATAGCAGTGGCCACTAACCCTGTGCTAGTTCATTTAAGATGATTTTCCACAGAACATTCAAGCAATAATGGCAAAAATAGTTACCAAAAAAACCTCATAGCATGGTAATGTTTTGAATAAAGGTCAAATATAAGAAGAATTAATTGAGACTTAAGCTCTCAAGCTGACCCCGCAAGAGAAGTTATCCATATTTTCAACGTTTAGTGTTAGTTTAAAACATAATAACACATGCATTAAGGATTCTCACGAGGTTTGACATTGACTTTCTTGAGAATGCTTGAGAATTTAATTATGCAATCACTTGGAGAAATAAACTAAAGTGAGATGTTTTTACTATTATTCAAAGAGTTACTGTGCTGTGAGTAGATTTTAGTAAATAATTTTGCACTAATTACTCAAACTTTGAGCGGAATTCAAATTACTTGAACAAGTTATGCATGATTTTTGCCGTAAGCATTGACAGAAACAATTATCACCACAAACGTTCTTAAACCACAAGTCATGTTGATTTGACCTCTTTCCTGATGTATATTGGCCAGTACAACTCAATTGTTCATTATTTTGATAATGCGGTTCAGTCAAACGTTACCACAACTCGTCAACATTAATTGTATTACTGACATCTCAACAAGCTGAGGCATATTGACATGTTTGGCAAATGCAAAGTGTACATGTATGAATCGCAATGGACGAGCAACCCATCCAGGGGGGTACAGAAATATTCCTAGTCACTTCATGCTACAGAAACCGTAATAACCTCTTGTCTTATGGACCACTTGGCTCGTATGCAGACTTTACCTACTTAACATGTATCAATCAGTAATATTGTTGACTCACACATTGACCTATTCAGTACTCATTCGATACTTGCTGACCATTGAAAAATTGGCCAATTACAAATTTGTTTGCCTTTAATTCACCTGGTATTTTAATTTTTACATGGTTTACAGTGTGAAATATTACTGTCAGTATTTTACATCCTGTAATGTGAAATCAGCCTTGTGAAAGTAAAATGCAAATTTCACATGTTTTCTTTCATCATTGTGTTTTTTTTTTCCCACATAACTCGTTTTAAACATCCCAGATATTATCTCCTAAAAACTTTGTGAAATCAACAACGTTTTGTGGGGATTTCACTTACATTTCATATGATTTCAAAGTGATGATGTGGGTAACTGACACGGTATTATTTTTAAAACCTGCACCGTGACTCATCATTTATCAAAGTCCATGGATAAATCTTAGGCCCAGTTCAGACGCCGAACTCTTCATGAGCCGGACTTAATTCGAATTTGGACCGACCCAAATTATCAAAAGTACGCCTGTTGATTCAGACGTCGAACTTACTTCTCCGAACTTAATTTAGTTTGNCATTTCATGTACTTAATTCAACGTATTAGGTTCGGCTCATGAAAAGTTTGGCGTCTGAACTGGGCCTTACTGTGAGCTTGTCTTTCAGGCGGGAAATATTCAATCAGCCAAGCTATAATTCTGGGATTCATCAAAGGCAAAAATTTTATTGCGACAGTTAAGTTCCAGACAAAAAGGAATACTTCAGCCAAGAAATAAAGAAATAAGAAAAAAACGTGCTATCAGGCATATGCACAGCATGCAAATGTGCCACAATTACCACGCTCCACTACAAGCAGATAAGACCGGCCATGTAACCTTAATTTGTGCATTCACATAAAAGTCCTTACGTAATAATATCCTTGTAAAATTCTTATCTTGGACAGCTATGTTATTCATTTACAGACGAAACCCGACCATAAAAATCATTATGTCCTGACAAGGCATGACAACAATCATCGCTTTTACCTTTCATCGACGTTTTCATGTGCATCTTCCCCGGCGCCCACATGTTGTTTGCCGTTTGCAAAAGGTGCACCATTCGTTTCTTCGGGGGCGATCTTCACCTCAAAATCATTTAGATTTTGCCCTTCCACAGAATTAACCGGAGATTCGCTTCTTGGGCGATATTTTCCTATCGTGCCATCCATGGCAAATTAATACCGGAAAATCAAATCGAAGTGAGCTTGCTTGTTTTGTGTACGAAAGCAAAGGCGGCTGTTTCCTGCGATGAAGAAGTAGCAACGGCTAACAATGAAAAAACAAAACTAACTGCTCGCGAATACCCTCTCCAAAATTCTGAACACGTTGTTAACTGCAGCTTTTTATACCCTCTTACACTGATGATTGACAGAACGTTTACTGTCTAGGTCAGCAATTTGTGAGGAAACACTCGAGCCGGGTACAAATACGTCTTCTCCTAAATTTAGTGCGGGACGTCACGACCGCACTGCGCATGATCAAGCGTGAACATCGTAAGGAAAATGTCACGACATAAAGTCTTTAATTCATGATGCAAAACCGAGGCAGAAAATAATTCAAAAATAATTATTTGACCATATAATGTTTAGCACTGTACGAATGAATATGATGAATTCAATTTTACGCGCATGGCATTAATATGACCCGTTGTTTTTAGGATAAAATTTTAGGTATCTTACGTCTTTCCTGCACCGGAAAGAAGAAAACAATATGGCATAAAGCTATTTATCATATATGCAGACAGTGTGACCAAAAGGTTTATTTGTAGCCTTATTTGGACTGAACTGCACAGGTTAAATGGCGGGATTTGGCAACCTGCCAGAAGGTTTTGTTTCGGGTAAAGATTGAATATTACAGTGCAAAAAGAAAAAAAAACTCGGGTGATTTTATGTGAAGCAGTAGACTGTTCATAGCAAAATATAAAGGTTGCCGATCGACGAGTCTAAGTTGAATATTGTCCCTCACTCATCCATTACAGTAGAGGGTAATCACACTAATCGCAATATAAGTAGCTTATTGCATCACAAGTCGTAACGGGAAATTATCCTTTAACAGTCGTAACTAAATTATCCCCAGTCAACCCCCCCCCCCCCCNTCAAGAATAGTCGCACTAATCGCAATATCAGTAACTTACTGCATTACAAGTCGTAACAGGAAATTATTATTTAATAGTCGTAGCAAAATTGTTCCCCTCAACCTTCCCCCCACAAAAAAAAAAACCTTTGCAATTCCTAATGACTTGGCGAAATCTTTTCCCTTTTAAGGACAATTTTTTGTGCCTTTCAAATGATGATTTTAAGTCGAGCTGTGGTTGTACGTGTATTGCTTTGATCTGTATTTTCAGCAAAAAGGAATCCACGTGTGGTCTTTCACACTATTAATGCAAATAAAATTCTCAAAATTTGTAAACAGTTTATGGCAATTAGTTGTAAGAACACAGTGACGTCGCTGTGAAAAAAAATAGAAATTTTATCCATTGGTCAGTGCTGGCTACGAAAATCGATAGAAACTTGATTTAAAAACATTTGGTGTGTAAAATTGATCTAGCAGAAAACGGTTGCTTTTTTAGCTACATAAAAATAGCTCAGTGCAAAATGTGTTAGTACGGCCTCTTTCAGTTATAGCGCAAACTGGTCTAAGAAAGGGACAACTCTGATTGGTTCCTTGCGCGGTGCGACGTTTGCAATACGTAAAAATGAACCGCTCACGAAAGAAAATAGTTTGTTGTTAAGTATATATATATATTTTTGTCCTTCATCATGATCAGTGGTGGACAATTTGAGTTTAACTTTCACGAAAGTGACCTGAAAGACGTATTATCTTTTGTGCGCGAGTACCGAGAACAGATCTTCGGGACGCATTAATTTCGGTACTAGCAGAGTTTTTGAAAGAGCCATGATGTAGAAACGTGCTACTGAATATTATGGTGTAAAAAGAAAACAAAACGGGTGATTTCATGTGCAGCAGTAGACTGTTCATAGCAAGACAAGCTAGGTCGCCGATCGACGAGTCTAAGTTGGATATTGTCCCTCACTCATCCACTACAGTCAAGAATAGTCGCACTAATCGCAATATCAGTAACTTACTGCATTACAAGTCGTAACAGGAAATTATTATTTAATAGTCGTAGCAAAATTGTTCCCCTCAACCTTCCCCCCACCCCCTCCCCAACCTTTGCAATTCCTAATGACTTGGCAAAATCTTCTTCCTTTTAAGGAAAAATTTTTGTGCCTTTCACATGATGATATTAAGTCGAGCTGTGGTTGTACTTGCGTTGCCTTGATTTATGGATAATTTGTATTTTCAACAAAAAGGGATCCAACGTATGGTTATTTGTATGCAGTTTATGGCAATTAGTTGTAAGAACACAGTGACGTGGCTGAGAAAAAAATTGAAATTTTGTCGATTGGTCAGTACTGGTCATGAAAATCGTGAGAAACGTGATTAAGAAAACGTTTGGTGAGTAAACTTGATCTTGTCGATTTCTTACAAAAAACGTTAACTTCTGTAGCTACATAAAAACAGCCGTATAATGTATTTAACCCGGCTTCTTTATTGCAGAGCAAAACTGGTTCACTGCGTGGTGCGACGTTTGCAATACGGACCGTAAAGATGGACTGCTCACAAAAGAAACAGATTGAATTTTTTCCTTCTAATCAGTGGCAGAATATTTGAGTTTAACTTTTACGAAACCGACCTGCAAAACGTACATTTAGATCTTTTGTGCGCGTTTACCGAAAACAGATCTGCGGGATGGATTAATTTCAGTTCTAGCAGAGATTTTAAGAGAGCCATAATGAAGAAACGTACTTTACCAGCTTGTTCGTCCATATTGGAATATATTGGTCTCGTTCTTTTGTTTCTTTTATGTTTTTTTCCTTTTTTTTGTGCAACGACCAATATTTCCCCAATACGCACCTCACGCTAGTAGAACAACATACGTGTATTTTTTACTTTGTACATGTTAAGAGCCGATAAGAGCGTCGAGTTAATTAGAAGTGAAACAGCTGTGGTCCTCGAGTTTCGTTAAATTAAGGTAAAGCACCACGTTCTTCTGCAAATCGTAAAAGGCACTTAGCCCGTTCAGAGCAGCTCGTCTAGTTCTCAGTTCCATATTTCTCTTTTGATTTAAAGATTTTAACTGATGGACACATGCTCAGGCAGCTGAAGGGAATTGAATGTTTTCCTCAAGGAGAACACAGGCAAAAAGCTGAGAACATTTATGTGTGTACAGCTCGAGGACTGGGAACAACAGGCCAGCGACAGATCTAGCTGGAGCTGTTCCATCCACACTGGTGCCGAGCACAGTAAGCAACAGAGGAAAGAACACCATGAGAGACTCCGGTCAGCGACAAAAGAGAAGCAACAGGCTACCAGCACAGCTCCAATCCCTAAAGAGTTCAGATGCCCGGACCATCTGTCTGAGAATCTGCCGTTCAAGAATCGAACTGCTCAGTCATCAACGAACTCATAAACTGAACACTACCAAGTAGACATCCTACTCCATATCGAGAAATTGCTTCCTACTACTGCTACTATAGTCCAACAAGAGAAAAGATGATCCTTTCTCTTTGGTCCAAATACAGCTAACGGCAAAATAGAAAAATTTGATTGGCTCATGTATGCAAGGGAAGGATCCCGGATTGGATCATCGGCCGGGCGAATCCCGGGGGGTAATCCCAGAAGCATAAAGTGGGGGTAGCCCGCTTCCCAAAGGTCTCACCCTTTTCAGATCAAACTCTGTGATTTTTGCTACTCAGTTTCACAGATGAGCTAAAATTCGATAACCTATTTTAGACTTGCCTTATAGTGAGCTCCCTAGTTCTGACCAACGTTAAAAGTACTGTTTATATACTTTTATTTGAAATAAAAGAAAACACTGTCAACCGATTTTACACACAAACCATACCCTATTTCAGGCTAAAATGGCCAAAATCGATACCCCATTTATGACCAAAACGGCTAAACTGAGCCATACCCTTTGGGGCCGCACATACCTAGCTATATAGCCATAAGGGAATACCACCGGGTAGCGACACTCATTTTGGGTCCAACGCCCCTTTTAAAATCATGGCACAGGGGTTGTACTTCAGGACACCGCCCAGGGCGCGGCCTGTTTTCGAAAAGCCTACTTCTCAACATAGTCATGCAATGTGTCGAAAACAGCATATATAAACAAACTAATATATAGATTTATTCAAACCTAAAATTCGTTTCGTGAATATTCGTCTCAGTCTTAGTAAGCTCTGGCTCAGTAAAATGTTAATCTCTTAATTAGTTTCTCGAGCATTGGATCGTGAGGACGCATTCTATCACATCAAAACCCGTTATGATCTATACAACAATACGTTGTTCGGTCTGTATTGGGCAATATTAGTCAATTTTTATTTTCAAGTTTATAAACTTACGAAAGTATAATCCAGGTATCACCTCTTTACTCATAAAAACTGTATATTTTTAAAAGGCTTAAAAGGTTTTGTACCAGTTGTGCTAATTACAGGCCGGTTAGAAAGGTTTTAATTGTGCTGAAGTCAAAGGTTAACGCAAAGTTGAGGTGAAAGACGTTCTCAGCTTCGGTTGACGGAAAGAACTGGCACATCCACTCTGCTTACTTATACGTATCCATTTCTCAAAGTGCGACTTCAGTTTAAGAGTTTGAGACTTAAGTTAAAATGTTACACTTCTGAACTCAGAGTCAGAGCAAATTTTGGTGGTGGTCTTGATGTGTCAGCGAAACAGATGTTATGAAGCTCAATAACTTTTTATAGAATTGAGTATTGTGTGTCATTTTGCAGTCACCACGTTAGTCTTGTGATTCTAGGACCCGACTGCCCACACAGAGAGTCTGATAACTTCAAGTTGTTCATCTAAGTTTCTCGAGAGTAATTAAGCTTCGAACAAGACTCTATCGATGGTCATGTTTAGGCTCGTCTACTTTCCTTGGTCCGGATCTTCCACAAAGATCCTGTTTACGTTTCTTGTTGTCTAAATTAAGCTGCTATTGGTTGTCTCAAGAACTATGTTTTTCGCTTCTGAAAGGTCGCGTGAAAGTGTTTGAGTTAGTGTTCTAAAAGGAGTTCAGTCCTCCAAGGTCAGTTTGCCCGTCTCGCTCGGCACACGCAGCTACCGATGTGGTATTTAAGTGCGTTTGCATCTGTTAGTCAAGTAGTAGCAGCTAGAAGAAGTAGTAGTAGAAGTAGTGGCATTGGCAGTGACAGCCGAACTTATCATCGACAGGTGTTCGGTGGCTACCGAAATGAATGCCTAAAGAATAAAACCGAGCCCTCAAACTAGTATATCCAGCGGAGTCACACTAAATCGGCGTGAAGTAGTACAGTCAGGAGACCCCATATTAAGCGGACCCCATATTAAGCCGACTGCAGTGCAAGTCCCATTTTCCTTTTCCCATATTCACTGTAAAAAATACCTGTATTCAACTGACACCTCTCTTAAGCGGACGCGGAAACCTTGAACTTGACTTTTATGGTCATTTCTATTGTTAGAAACCTGTATCAAACGGACACTGCAAAAATAATGCATAAGTTTTTTGTCCACGTTTTAGTAGATTGGTCATTTAAGTTTGCCAATACACTGAGCTGTCACAGAAATGCAATACTTCGTTATTCGGTTTTGGTTTTACAAAACTTTTGTTCTTGTTTGATTTTGTGAACCTGTACATCATTCGATCAATATAGATACTGTTACTGTATACTTAATCGCTTTACCTCATGTCCTTGTCATGGTTTATGGAAATTCGGTATTTCATAGTTATCGATCGTCCACGAGAATTCTATTTGTCCCTTTCAGGGTCTTTTAATTCTGACCAATATTGACATGACGAATTCTGGGGGAACCTCCCTATACAGGTTTGACTGTGATGCGGTCTAAAAAAGTTTCATTTGGTAATCAAAGTTGCGTAAATGATGGTTTATTTACATAAAGCAGAGTTAGTCCCTGCCGAGTGAGAGACAACCAGACCACGGGTGGTCGGTGGTCCCCTGTGGAAGCAAGTTTGCACATAAATGAGCTGGAACTCAAAGCAGTCCTTTTTGCATTACATTCATTGTGCAACAGTATTGTAACAAGCACAAACGCATCATGTCAGATAACGCAACCACTGTTTCCTACATAAACAATATGGGAGACAGTAAATCTAGAGCCTGTAATGATATTGCAAAGAGAATTCGGCAATTTGGCTCGGAGAGAAATAATTTCCTCAGCTCAGCTCATGTGCCAGGGAAACAGAATACCTTGGCTGACGGCAAATCTATGGTATTTAATCACCGAACGGAGTGGATGTTGAATCTAGAGTTTTTCCAGAAGTGATCCCTTTTGTGGAGTCCTTTTGAGATTGACCTGTTTGCTCCCAGGTTAAACAAACAGATTGATAATTATGTATCACGGAAACCGGACCCTGGTGCAGCTACTGTGAATGCTTTTTCAATACTATGGAACAGGATGCCATTTTATGCATTCCCGTCTTTTTCTCTCATTCCCAGATGTTTACAGAAGATCACAGCAGACAAGGCAGAGGTAGTGATCATTGTACCCATGTGGCCTACCCAGACGTATTACCCCAGGATAATGTCCATGTTGATTGAACCGCCAAGGCTGTTACTGAGGAAGGAGAACCTGTTAAGGCTGCCACATTGCCGATTAAATCACCCACTATGGAAGAAAATGCAACTGATGGCATGTTTGAGGCAGAAAAAGTTTCAGAGGAAGCTAGAGGAATCATGTTGCAGTCCTGGAGGAAATCCACCCAAAATCAGTGCTTTTAGCGGTGATGGCCGCCCATAGCTAGCCATGGGCGGCCTTAACCGCTAAAATTGTGTAAATAGTGTCCTCAATTAGTTTTTTAAAACTAAATACTGTTGGCACTTAAGGTGGTCTTATACCTAAATTTTTTTTTTTTTTGCAAAACAACTGTGTGGAACAGTTTTGGTATCACGTTAAAGGACTTTGCACTCTGACTTCAAAAA